AGTGTTGTGTCATGTAGATCTTCTGATCTAAATCTTCGTGTAGAAAGGCTGTCTTAACATACATTTGGACCAAATCCAAATCCAGCTGCGCCACCAATGCCAATAAAATCCGAATCGACAAATGTTTCACAACTGGTGAAAATACCTCGTTGTAATCAACGCCCTCAAGCTGTGCATATCCCTTAGCAACCAATCTGTCTTTGAATCGAATGTCCCCAATAGAAGACCCCTCCTTCTTCGCATATACCCACTTGTAACCAATAACTTCCTTACCCTTAGGTAGCTTTGCAAGTTCCCAAGTGTCGTTCTTCTGAAGATAACACATCTCCTCTTCCATAGCTTCCCTCCACCTGATTGAATCAGAGCTAGATTCTGCTTCCCTGAATGTAGAAGGAACCATATTATCAATGACCTCCACTGATAATACATATGCGACCATGACCTCATTATATCTAGCTGGCCGACGAATCACCCTTCTGTGTCTATTTGCTACAATGGACTCTTGAACATGACCCTACTCCTGAGTCTCACCATCCACTGTATCCTTTATATGCCCGGCTGCCATCCCATCTCCTTCCAGTGTCACCTCTGTAGGAGTCTCAATGGATATAATGCTATCTAGAGTGGGTGGAGCCATATCATCCTCCGTCTGTTGCGATATCTCTCGAATCTGGTCTTCCTCCACTTGCTGAGGAACTTGAGGCCTCATTATGTACGCCTCATCAAATGTGACATCTCTGCTAATGACTATCTTCTTATCCTATAGATCCCATAATTTGAAGCCTTTAGCACATTTTCTAAATCCCACAAAGACTGCTTTCCTCACTCTCAGATTTAATTTTCCATCATTTATATGATAATGAGCAGAACACCCGAATATCCGAAGTAACTCATAGTCACTAGCCACCGAACCAGACCAACGCTCCATCAGAGTCTTTCCCTGTATCACAGTGCACGACAACCTGTTCATGAAATGACTCTCATAAACTAGCGCCTCGGCCCAAAAGAATTTAGGCAATCCACTCTGTGTCATCATACGTAACACCTTCTCCAGAAAGGTATGATTCAATCTCTCAGCCACCCCATTCTGTTACAGTGTCTCTCGAACTATGAAGTGTCTCCTAATGTTGTGATTCCAGCAAAACTATAGAAATGGATCACTCTTGTACTCTCTACCATTATCTGATCGAAGAGTCTTCACATTTCTACCTGTCTGCAACTTTACTTTCTTCTTCCACTCCATAAAAATATCCAGGACCTCATGTTTATGCTTCATTGTATATACCCAATTTTTCCTAGAATAGTCATCAATGAAAGTGACAAAATAGTTGGCCCCACCAAGTGATGTGTGTTTGGAAGGGCCCAAAACATCTGTGTGAATATAATCCAATATACCTTGGGTGTTATGAATAGCGGTGCCGAACTTCACTCTAGTCTTCTTCCTAAGTATACAATGCTCACACAGCTCCATCTTACAGGTCTTAACACCTTTCAATAGCTCCTGTTTCGCCAATGACTGTAGGGACTTATCTCCTGTGTGTCCAAGTCTCATGTGTCATAAGGTAGTAGTGTCCTTCTCTGTAGTGATAGAAGCTGTCAGACCCCTTGTAACTGTCTTGCCCTTCAAGTAGTATAGGTTATTTTCTCTGATACCTCGCATCACCACCATAGAACTCTTTGCGACCTTCACTGTAGCATCCTCTACGATTACCCAATATCCTGCTGCCTCCATAATCCCAAGAGAAATGATGTTTTTCGTCAACTGTGGCTCGAACCTCACTTCCTTTAATTCCCCTAGCCACTCTGTCATGCATCTTGATCCGGACTGAACCAATACCATCGATAGGATATACGTGATCATTTTTCATAAGCATGACATCCCCTCTTTCCAGCTCCTCAAAGCTGGAGAACTAATCCCTCCTAGGGCAAATGTGATATGTAGCCCTCGAATCCAGCATCCACTCTGTAGAGTCGGCATAGCAAACCGACGGTAGTGTAGGGCACGAATGACTTAAAGAATCTGAATCTGAATGCTCACCAACAGCTTTTGCAACATTCACTTCTGAAGCTTATACAACTTTCCCCTTATTCTTTCCGGTTTTTTCCTTCAACTTTGGGCAGTCGATCTTCAAATGTCTCTCTTCTTTACAAAAGCAACATTGATTCCTACCAACACTCTTATAGCCACCTCTATTTTTCAATTTTAAACGGTTGACTTGGCGGCATTTTGGACTATGACCTCGAACTGCTAATGCATCTCCCGATGCCTTCTCGGATGGTTCGCCACCACTCTTCCTCAACTCATAATTTATCAACGTTGAGGTTACCTCCTTATAGCTACCAATAATTTTTCCATTGATCATAGTGAGAACGAATGTACCATAATCATCCTCCGACAATGAACACAAAAGTAGCATCACCTTGTCTTCATCCTCAACCATGATGTCCACATTGGTCATATCTGAAAGTAGCTTCGTGAAGTTGTTTACATGATACCTAATGGAAACTCCCCTCTTCATCTTGAACTGGTAAAACCTCTTCTTCAAGTGAAACCGATTCTCAATGCTCTTAGTAAGATACTTTTCATTGAGCGTTTCCCACAATCTCTTCGCCGACGTCTCGTTCATCACATCATAAATAAAATCCGGTGTCAAGCATGACCGAATAACTCCACAAATCCTACTGTTCATCTTCTTCCAAACCTTGTCTTCCATGTCTTTAGGTTTCTCTTGTAACTTAAGAGTCTCCTCTAAATTCTATCCATCCAATGCATCCATCACCTGGCACCTCCACAATCCGAAATTAATCTTGCCATCGAACTTCGGAACATCAATCTTCGTATTATTGATGCTACTACTTTGTATCACATTCATAAGAGATGAACCTGATGTGCTTCCTTCACCCATGTTGTAGATCTAACTCTTCAAATAGAAATCCTTCAGCGAATCCTTCGTACAAGCCCCAATCCAAACCTAAGGCTCTGATACCACTTGTTGTGCGCAGCGGGTTCACGAAAGCCAAATAGTGCACGGACAAGAACGAAGAAGCTCACAACCAAACACAAGCACAATTCACAATCACAGCAAGACAACGAAATTTACATGGTTCGGTAAGTTGCCTACGTCCACGGGGCAAGAAGGGGGAGTGTTCTTACTATTAGAAATCAAGAGAATACAAATAGGGTTACAAAACTCACCAATAAACCCTAGAACAAAGTTCTCTAGATATCTCACAAATCCTCCCACAATTGATGCACTATTCTCTCTTAAAAGCTGCTAAAAAACGTCCTTACTTAACCCTAATAATCAACATATTCCTATTTATATCAAACCCAAACAGAATGCAAATATGAATCCTAACTCAGCCTAAAAACACCCGTAAGTCGACTTATGCACCCTGATAAGTCGACTTGACAGAGCCAAAAACGACAATTGCTGAACAGATCGTAAGTCGCCTCATGCACGGGCATAAGTCGACTTATGCCTGTGCATGAGTCGACTTATGATAGAAAATCCACTTTTTCTGCTTCCTTTCTTGAGTTCTCCACAGTAATCACACCATGGTGACCACAATCAAGTTTTCTTGATTTTTTTAGTTTGAACCAAACACTAGAAAATGAGAAAATCTATTCACACATCGATCAATTGTTTTTTTTTAATTTGAACCAAACTAAGAAAAGTGGTGGAAAGTACTTTCAGCCCATAGAGAGAAGTATTAGGAGGCAGTGGAAAAGAAAGCTTTGGGTCACTAGGCAAGAATGCTTGGATGTTGTGTATTTATTTGAATGATTATTGCTGGTTCATGCGTTGGTAGATTTTTGTGTAATAATTGATGCAACAGGAGCTGAATGTTTGCTTGATTTTCTGTTCGAATTTGAGAACTTATGATTTTCTTTACTTTTTAAAGTTTTTTTTTTTTTAAAGAAAAAGTACTTTCCAGCATTTTGAAACACCTCATGTTAGCACTGTTTTATCCAAATCCCAACTTCGGCTTAGTTACAAAATGACCATATGGAGTATTTCATACAACAAACGACCTCTGAGAGGCCCATTAATTAAAAGGATGAACATGGGCTTAATGGGGACAAATAGTATTTGAGGTGTGAGTCCAGCTATAATTGGAACTGCTTCCTCTTTGAGTTATGAGTCAGTACATAAATAACCATAGATATTACTCACTGTTCAATGTGAAATAAAATCCCATTTACTATCAAAATTAACATTTGAATGGATTTATTTTTATGCGTTCCTTACTAAATCTAACTTAATTTAGTAACAAAATCTCGAAACGAATAGAACATACAACAAAGAGCCGTCAACTTTGATACCAATTTGTTAGTTTTGAATAGACCCATTAAGAAGTGATAGACTACGCTAATCTGAGCCCAATGGTAAAAAGGCCTCCATAGAATATTATATAAATTGAAAGGGAATGAAGACCCCTGATTCAATGCGAATCATATTGCACACTTCGCCATTACTAGAGATGTTAAATGGGTGGGTATGGGTTTAAATGGGCGGGCCATAAATGGGCGGGCAGGTTTTGCCCATTTACCCATTTATAGCCCATTTAACATTATTTAAATGGGCGGGTTTTTACCCGCCCATTTAATAAACGGGTCGCCCATTTGCCCATTTAACTATAGTACATATATATGTATAATACTTTTGGGGTGTTTTTTGTAAACTTTTAGGGTTTTTTTTTGTAAACTATTGTAGGCTTTTTGCAAACTTTTTGGGAGCTTTTTGCAAACTTGTTGGGGCTTTTGATAAAATACTAACAAAGATAGGAACATAAACAAAGATAAACAAATACAGACAAATTCATGATTGAACCATTTACAAGCCTGGATAAAAGTACAGACCTCACACATTTGCAAAATTAACCTCAAATTTCCAAACCAAAAACCTAAAGATCAATAACAAAAAAATTGCGAGTATATTTAAATGAATTAAGATAGAAAACACAAGGTATGCAAGGATCTGTATAAGATCAATAACTTGATATAAACGCCATCATAACTATCAGCAACACGATCACGATTAGTAAGGACAATCTACTTAATTACTTGATAAACTAGAAGAGTAGTAAGTTCGTCTATAAACAAAATAGTAGCACAACCATAGTCTACTTATTTCTCATCTTTCAAATGTTCAGGCATGAACATGATCATGACAGAAGAAAGAAAAGACCAGGAAACAAAGATCAAAAGGGAGGGATTTTACGAGAAAGTAAATCTTAGCCCCCAAATTGACAATGCTGCGACTGACAATAATCACAACGCAAGGAAACAGTATAAACATATTACAGAATCAACCAAAATCAACCAAAATCACAGCTTCAGCAGCAGCAGCAGCAACAACAACTGCTTCGGCAGCAGCAGCTTCAGCAACTTCAGCAGCAGCAACAACAACAGCAACAACAGCAACAACAGCTTCAGCAGCAGCGCTTGCTTTCTCGTCAGAATTCGTCTGTGCCATTTATTGAACAAATTCAAGGTTCTCTGCAGCATCAACAGTCAGTTAACCAGTATATGCCAGAGTTGGAGCAATTTTTGAAACTTCAGTTAGAGGAGCAACATCATCTTCAACAGCTGCAGCAGCAACAAGAATTGCATCAGCAACAACAGCAACTTCAGCTCCAAATGCAACTAAAAATCATGAAACTTTACTTGGTTAATTGTTCAATTTTCGAACATTTGCTGCGGCAGCAGTTGAATGACCCTGTTTATCAACTTAGTTAAGTGTTACGCGGCATGAGTCATAAGAACATTTCATATATAAACTATTAATGAGATTGCTAAGTCAAACTATCAAATTAAACAATTAACCAAGTAAAGTTCATGAACCATGGGAACTGTATTAATATATAAAGAACTTAATATTTGTAATCTCATGATTTAAGGCTGTGTTTGGGAATGCTGATTTGGGCTTGGATTTGAAATTCTGGGTATTTCAAATCCAAATTTCACGTTTGGGCTCAACTTTAGGCCATGATTTCTAAAAGGAGAAAAGTCATTAACTTTGTTTGATGAAATTGGTGAATGAGAATAGTAGTTGCCGCATTGCTGACTGCTTCAGTAGCTAGGACATCAGAATTCATTTCCACTTCTGAACTGTTGATAAAAGGAATATTTTGAGATTGGTTCTCTTATCAGTAGTATTGTTGAGTCTTATGCTTGATTGTTGTTAAAGCATGATTCATGTATGTAACAACCATTTCTTTGCTCTTGTAATCTCGGAAGATTAACTTAAGCTCATCTTTGTATTTTTTACAGGTTTTCTGGTGTCTGATTCTATATGTGGATACTGAGGAAAGTGCATTACAGTTTCTACTGTTATCAGAAACCTGAACACATGCAACTCGTGTTACTTCTAAATCATCAGGGAATCACTGTTCTCGCTGTGCTTCCATAGATTTTCTTTTCTTTTCTTTTTTCTCTGAGAGGTGATCTTGTAATACCGAAATATTGTCAACATTTTACTGTAACTATTTATGCATGTAATCAAGTTTATTTCCCCATCACATTTCGCTTACTCTCTATATCAGGTTCCTCTTGACTGTTTGTGTCTGGTTAGTAGCATAAAATTACATGTTTTGATCTTCATATACTGTTGTATATGTTTGTCTGTTTTGTTTTTTTTAATAGCAAATAGAGGTGTTCATTATTTAATAAAAACTATTATTTATAATGGTTACGATCCCAAACTTTTGATTTTTCTCTTCTTTTATGTTTAGAAGTACTCTCATCATCACTACCATCATCATGGATGCTAAATTGATCATTTAAAGACATGATCGCTGAAAAAAATAATTTAATAGCACATTAATTTTGGGTAGCAAACACATAATAAAGGCACAAAATAATATAAAAGCAGTAATTGGTTCGTGTAATAATTCACATGTCGCTAATAATATAACAAGAATTACGAAGACTGGTCTTATTCACTTGCTATTATACTTGATTCAATGGCACATGATTTACAAAGAGATCTGATGTTGAGAGTTAGGAAAATTTTTGGGAGGCTTTCGTCGTCACCGCAAACTTTGTGGACAACTAATGTTTACCATGATGGCAGGCATGATCCCTTTCCCTAAATTGACAAGAGATGGGAAAAGAATCGAAGTAAAAAGAAGGAAAGGCAAAACAAAGGACGAACGCATTTGATGTCCATAAACAGATTGAATTGACAATCAAAGAAGGGCAAATGAAGATGATTCAACTAGCGTTATGCTTGCAAGCTCACAATTTCTATAGTAGGTAAATAAATTTGGAATTAAATTTAATGTTGAATATGGTATTTAATTTACCAGAACATAAGTGATTAAAGATACCATATGCAGGGAAAAAATCCCTTACGCATTGCTCTAGAGGATTATGTGATAGAACCTATTTTAGTAGATGTAGTTGCATGAAAATGACATATTTTAGACCAGTTATAGCAGTTTATTTTAGTATGTACAATTGTAATTGCGATACAAATTGGAACTTAAAGAAAAAAATCGTTTGCACGCAACAATTTATACGTGTATGAACGTCAATTGCAGCTGTAACTTTTCAAAAATAAATAGAAATAAATTGTAATTCCACTCACAATCCACTCCCAACAAAAGTTCTAAAAACATGACATTCCCAAAGAACACATACAAATTATTTTTTAATTTTGATCAAATGTTGTATGCATCTGCATCTGATAACTTTACAACAATTGCCATTGCAGTGAATGTTACTCGCACTGTTAATTATTATGGAAAACCTAATTGCAGTCCTATTTTGATCAAATGTCGTATGCATCTTCAAGAATCTATCATAATTTTGTGCAAATTATGCTAAACTTGATTAGAATAGACTCTAGTTTAGAAAAAATAAGAACAATTTAAACAAATCAACTGAACTTCATGAAAAAATAAGAATAGACTCTAGTTTAGAAAAACTTGATTAGAATAGACTGTAGTTTAGAATAGCCGATCTATTTATGTAATCTCCTTGATTAGAATAGACTCTAGTTTAGAAAAAAAAGAACAATTTAAACAAATCAACTGACCAAGAGAGATCGCGGACGAGGGCGGCTAGGGCTTCGGGATTGACTCCGCGATCGCAGAGGGAGATGATGAGGGAGAGGGTGATGCCGGGTCGGAGGCGGCGTCGGAGGCGGCGTCGGAGGCAGAGGAGGAGGCGGAGGAGGAGGGATCAATGAGAACTCAGCCGCGAGAGAGAGAGGAAGAGATTGACTCCGCGATCGCAGAGGGAGATGATGAGGGAGAGGGTGATGCCGCGTCGGAGGCGGCGTCGGAGGCGGAGGAGGAGGCGGAGGAGGAGGGAAGCCGCCAGAGAGAAAGAGGAAGAGATTGACGGGGGGGCAAATGGGCATTTTTTGGATCCTATATTTAGTTTTTCTTCTGGGAACGCGGGCGGGCAAATGGGCACATATACACCGCCCATTTAGTACCCGTTTAGTATGGATTAAAATGAACCCGTCCAATTAGACCCATTTAACTAAATGGGTGGGTTTTGGGCGGGCTACGTGGTAGGCGGGCCGGGTGGGTAAATGGGTATGGGCAGAAATTGCCTTCCTTAGCCATTACTGTGCTCGAGTTATTGATACGTGCGTGGTAGTATTGCTTGGTTGCCACATGCTGAGCTGCAGAGGTAAAATGCAATCATATTTACATTTCTATTGTACTGTTTGAAAAATTATAATTGGAAAAGGTAAATCGAATCACAATTTGCAACCACAAAAAAAAAAGCTAATCCATCTCCCTTTTCTAAAAATGTATTTGGTAAATCGAATATGTGTTTGGTAAATCGAATCATATTTGGTCGAATCACAATTTTTAAAATTCTAATATGTGTTTGGTTGCCCCATGTTCTACCTTTTGCTCTAAAATGTCACTCGATTGTGTTGGTCTTTTCTCAAACTAATCCATCTCCCCTCACATCATATCAAACCCAACTAACCATGTCTATCGATCGACGAAGAGAAAATTAGTAGAAGGCTCTTTAAACCGTTTAATTTTATCCTCTATTTGATATAACTTTCAATTTCTAATATGTGTTTTGCCTTTGAGAGAAGGAAAAATATATTAAGAGGAAGAAGAGGGTAATTTTAGAATATAAATGAGTTTTAACAGTTTAAATGCGGGCTGTTTTGTAATGAAAAGAAAAGGCTAGGGAGTTCCGTGATAAGTGACCAAACTTCAACATGAATTCATAATAATTACCCTACTTTCCTAACGTGAGAAGGGCCCTCATGAGTTCATAGTGAATTAACACTAAGTTAAAGTATAGGCAGGTCGCATCTAGTATCACCAAATCGTGGGTAGACCTCTTGTAGTTCAAATTGTATAGATAGACCTCCTGAGATACTTTTTTACTATTAAAAAGTTAAAAGGTTTTGTAGAGATGGATAGACCCTGTGTAATATTCTATATTCTTTCACTTTGATACTCTAATATTGTTACCAATACCAATCTTATTACTCTCAGTTTCAATGCACACATTCTAATGACATGAAAATGTTAATCTATCTGTGCTTTAACTAAGGCCATTAGTCCAATTATTTGTTGACAATAGTCTTTATCATTAAACCCTAATTACTTGTGGTTTGAACCCTAGTTAAATTTGATCCCAAATGATATACACCCAACACAAAACCAAGTTAAAAAACCTTTTAATCAAGTCTTGTACAGCGCGTATTTAGAGAGGAGAGTTTTGCACAAAAGACCATCTCATTTACACAATTTTCTTCACCAATGGCACATGGGCAAAGCTACTTTGACACTTGTGAACGTGGGGTCTTGTGGGGGCCACATGACGTGGGGTCTTGTACAAGACGTGGGGTCTTGTGAGGTTTCTCGGGTGCATCAAGAGCACGGAGCCCAGGAGCAGCAGGCCCACCCGCTTTTGCCTTTAAATACCCAAGGCTAGGGTTATTTCGGGTTGGTGAAAAAAAGCTGTAAGGAGAAAAAGGAAAAAAAAACGGCAGAGCCGCAGAGAGTTTTTTTTTTCCGGATCTGAGAAGAGATAAAAGGAGAGAGTTTTTTTGAGGGGTTTACAAAAGAGATGTTAATTTCTTTTGGGTAAAAATCAGATCTTTTTTCTTTGAGACGAGCTTGTGGATTGTACAAGTCGTAGGTGTTCTTCTCATAGTGAAATCTCCCCTCACCCCTCCCGTGGACGTAGGCAAGTTTACCGAACCACGTAAATCTCGTGTCTGTACTATCTTAATTATGAGTTTGCCATTGCTTGTAGGTTCCCTCGACATTTCAGTCCTAGAACTGATGAGAAGAAGAGTGTATATTTTATTTTGTTGAAATATTTTACTTTCTATTCTAGTTCCCTTTGAGAAACAAGAATATAGAGGTTGACTTGTGTTTTTATGACAACAAAAGCCATGGCCATTTCTCAGGTGATATCGCTTCCACGGCGTGAGGGCGTGACTCTGCGTCCAACAATTGGTATCAGAGCACTTTATTCAGATTGGAGGTGGTAGAATTTCTGATTTGAGGTGGTGCGTGATTTTGTGTGGTGAACACAAGGTGTTTGTTGGAATTCCTGAGAGAGGCGGGTTATTAATACAAGCGGAGAATGACGTCTACCAGTAAAACGGTTAAAGTGAGAAAGTACGAGATTAAAAAATTCAATGGGAAGAATGATTTTTCCTATTTGAGGATGTAGATGAAAAACTCGTTGATTTCGCAGAAATTGCACAAAGCTTTGGCGGGAAAAGAGAAGAAGCACAATGATATGTCTGATGAGGATTGGGAGGAGCTGGATCTTGAAGCACGAACGTCGATTATCCTTTGCCTTGAAAGAGATGTAGCTTTCTTGGTAGATGGAGAGGAAACGGCTGCGGGCATGTGGTCGAAGTTAGAAAGCACCTTCATGACGAAGAGTCTAACGAACCGGATCTATTTAAAATCTAAATTGTATATTTGCAAGATGGAGGAGGGCTCATAAATCTGAGAATACATCAACAAGTTCGATAGGATAATATCGGATCTGAAGGACATCGATGTGACTGTAGAAGACGAGGATCAGGCTCTTCTACTACTTCTATATCTGCCGAAGTCTTATGAGAACCTGGTGCAAACACTAACGCTTGTGGGAGACAATTTGACGATGGATGAGACTAGAACGGCGCTTCTAGCGGATGACCTTCGGAAGATTGCAACCAGTGACATGACAACTACTGGTGGTAATAAAGAACAAGCTCATGGATTGTTTGCTAGAAGAAGGAGCAATGAGCGAGGAAAAGGCAAGAGAGAAAAGTCTAGATCGAAATCGATACCTCTTGCGGGAAGGGCGTGTTTCAAATGCGGTGAGCTAGGGCATTTTAAGGTTGACTGTCCTAACAAGAGGGTAGGTGGAAAGAAGAACAACAACAAGACCGAGAGAAGAGAAGGCAAGGAAGAGGCGAGTAATGCCTCAGAGGAAGGGAGCGATAAAGAATGCTATGTTGTTACGGGTGACGAAGATATCTCCGGTAAGTGGATACTTGATTCGGGTTGCTCTTACCATATGTGCCCAAATAGGAAATTGTTTACTACCTATAGAAGCATTGATGGTGGAACCGTATTGATGGGGAATAAGCATGCTTGTAAAATGGTGGGGCTCGGTGATATAAAAATTAAGATGCATGATGGAGTGGTCAAAATCCTAACGGACGTACGACACGTTCCCGACTTGCGGAAGAATCTTATCTCAGTGGGTGTATTGGACTTCGGTGGCTGCAAGATTGTTACAGAGAACGGAGTGAAGAAGGTTGTTCGAGGTTCCCTAATAGTGATGAAGGGTGTGTTAGCCCTTATATTTTGATGATGTTTTACAACCACCATTATCGGTACTAATTGCTTGTTAAAGTGATATTGTAGTTAATATATAATCAAGCTTGTTAGTACCACTTATGGAGGATTGGATGAAATATGAACTACAACGATGATATCCAAAGGAGGAGGAGACATAGTGATGAAGCAATGTTTATTCAAGAACAATAAATGCAATGAGAAGCTTCATCAACTCAAGCTATATCAAGACTCAAAGAATTGTAATTCTATGTGAGGATATTAGCTAGTTTGTTCTTTTCTCTCTAGTACTAGAATGTAGGCAAGTAGTTGTAGATTTCACTTGAAGCTATTGGGATATCACACACACGTTTTCATACTTATATTTTTGAGCGTTTCGACAAAATATCATTTTTCACAAGTATGAGGACCTTTTCGTAAAATTCCTTTTCCAAACAGTTTGTTTTTAGTGTTAAAAACAATTTACAAAGTTACATAATTTTTGGAAGTCATTTGAATATTTTTACAATTTATCAAAGAGTCAAAAACAGGTTTTAAAAACAGTGTCAGCATGTATCAGTTCGCGGTCGACCGCCACGGTCGACCGTGCCTGTGTCTTTTTCTGAGTGGGCAGCAGAAACTTTCGTGGTCGACCGTCACGTTTGACCGTAGTCTCTGGAAAATTCTGAATTTCGAAAGTGGCTCGCGGTCGACCACGAGATTTTCACGGTCGACCGCCGGTTAACCCAACGGACGTTTTTCAGTACAGATTTGCAAATGATTTCTTATGGGTTTTAGGGGATCTGGGTATGGGTTTTAGCAGCTAATCTTTTTCCTATTTAAACTCTCATACCCTTCTTCTTTCAAGTGCTCTTGTCCATTTAAAATATCCTGCAAACCTGTTTACTGTTTTTGATAATCACATTTTTATTACAATTTTATACCCTCATTAGCTATTTTATATGAATAAATATACCACTAATAATTGTTTTTAAATTTTATACCCTCATTAGCTATTTTATATGAATAAATATACCACTAATAATTGTTTTTATCTTTTAATTACAGATTAATGAAGAATATGTTTTTATCTTTTAATTACAGATTAATGAAGAATAAATCTCAACTTCCCATCTCTCAACAAAAACCCATGGATTAACTGAAGAAATGATTCAAGAAGTCTAAGGGAAATGTGGACATGCTGCAGTTTTGAATTTCACAAGAAAATGTGAATGGAAGTGGGCCGGATTTGTGGACCGGACAATGAAGCTCTTGGATTTAATTGAAGTGGGCTGGACATGATTAAATGAAGTGGGCCGGACATGATATTCATTTGAAAATCAAATGAAGAAGGCTGGACTTGAACCGGACTTAGAAGCTCCATTGCTTTGGGCCGTTGCAGAAATTGATGAAGACCGGAATTTGGACAAGCAGCTGCAGATTTTAAAAATCATATGGGCTGGAGATTTACATTGGACCAGACATGATGGAGGCTATGCTGCTGATTTTTTCTCAAAGACTTGGACAACTTGGATTTTCACAAGAAATAAATGAATGGGCCAAAACTTGATCAGTTAATGGGCTGCAGAAAATTAAATTCGAAATTCAAATCATA